AAAGAGAATCCCTCAGCAGCCATTTTAAAGCAAATGTTAAAATTTATGCAAGGGGGATAAAGGGTACCAATAGTATCTGGAATCTTACATTGCTACAAGTGTAAACTTCTAAAAAAAGGATGCGATTCAGCCACTGGTATACCTGATGTAAAGGATCAGCACGCTTTTTTTTTTTTAATAAAACTCTTATGGCTTATAGATCACAAAATGCTACTTCCGTACAAGGTTGACGAAGAGTTCATGTCCAAAAAGTGTAACAGAGCGTCAAAACATTGCAAGCCAGTTAGTTCTTGGAACATTCTGAACATCAATCTTACGTTTTTATAAACAAACGTATGCTAACAAACTCCAAGCTGGAAGCAGTACATTTTTCAGATTCCCTCTTTTTAATGAAACAAACAAGCTACTGTAATTGTTAAGTTGCTAAATTGCTAGTCCGTCTGCTATTCCTGCTAAGGTTTTGTATGTTTATCCCTTTAAATAGTCATAAAAAGATATTATGGGATATGCAGACAAAATAAAATGCAACCTAATCATATTTAATTATAAAATCACACTCAGTTCTACTAATATTAAGCTTTCTCATATTCTCACAAATCCATCATGACAGGAACAAGATGAAAAACAGGCACCATGGCATCTTCTTTAGCACACTTTTTACCTTTAATTCTGCTAATTTGGGCATTAATTAATCAACCTCACAAAGTATGCACAACACTGCAATAAATCTGGAATATTATATTCTATAGGCTTAAAATTTCTTTTGCAACCGCATTAAATTATCTTAGCTTAACATCGTACAAACACATTCAAAATCAAAACCCTCAAAATATCTTACCACTTGCTGTTTTATTTAGTCAAAATCCACTCCAATCCAACATAATAGCATCACAAGGTTTATTACCCTGCTGTCTAACTAGTGGAAGAAACCCACAAACACAATCCATGTCAAAGATAAACCACTCTTTGGACCTGGAATGGACATCACAGTAACTAGCTATTTAGGACTTTGTGTTTTAAACCTGAATTCCTTAAAACAAACAAACAAAACCACAACCAAAAAAACCCACAGAAAATTATTAAAACTAAAGCCTTTATATGAGGACAATGATCTGCTAAAAAACCACCCCCCACAAAACAAAAAACTGTAATGAATAAGCAGTTCATGATTTTCTGAGAAGAAGAGTTTAACCATTGCCTGATTTCTTTACAGTGTATATTTAGCTGGTTAGAATGTTTCTCAAAAAAATTCAAGACATCTTGAATCAGTTCCACTGACAGTCCTCCTATTTTATTATTGATACATGTGGACACAATACAGAGGACATTAAATAAGCTGGAAAATCATATAGAATATAATTTTAAGTGTACTATATAAAGACGAAAGAGAATGTTTTGCCCACAGAGCATCACATATAATAAAGATAGCTTTCTTACACAAGATAACAAGCATTACTCATTTACTGTAAAATCCAAGCACTCAGAGAGTGAGTGCGGAAATCAAGCATGAAGCTATTCTTTTGCTACTTCTTGAGTACTTGAAGTTAAATTACATATACCTATTTCCCCCCAGATTTTATACAGGGAAAAATGCTGATATGAATTAGCTATGACATTAAAAAAAAAAGCCATCCTTAACAGAAAAATACTCGTCTTTTACAGGAACCAGGCAGGATAATCTTCATTTGCAATGTAAGTCTCAAAAATTGAGGTCTTTTTCTGACAAAAGGTCTCCTACATTTACATGCACAAAGTAGTATAGCTGATGTTGGACTGCTTTTTGTCTCTTCATGTTTTTGAATTCAAATAAAACTACGTTCATTTTTTTCTAAATTTGTCCATAGTCTGTGTTTTGTGCAGTTACTGTTACTATCTACATCTAGACACTGAAACCATTTTTTGTCATTTATGGGCCAACATCATTATTTCATTGACCATCAAACAGCATATTTGCTGATTTAGAGCGAACATTTTATCATACCAAACCGCTGTATTTCATCTGACAGTAAGCCAATAGTAACAACTGAATTTCCCAAGTTAGTCATAATACTCTGAGGGATTTCTTTTGTTTGAACAGTTAATCGCTAGGACAACACAAATTAAAAAACAAAACGGACACAGTTTTACTAATCATTTTGGCATTCCCATTATCACATTTATCTTTGTTTACCGATCATGTTGTTTTCTGGTCAGCAAATGTACGGTTTTCACTTTTAAATATGAAATTTAGCTTTAAACATGAAGCATTCAGACACTGTTCTTATATAGGTCAGTAGCAGTTTATAATAAATATATGTGCAAGATGAGCTCATGTTAAGCTTTTAATTCCAGTATGATTACCTTACATTTCTGAAATTGAGTGATTATAAAGACGAGGCACACTTACACAACATTTTAACACTACTACTTCCAAAATCAATTTCTTTAAAGATACAATATTGTCTTTAAAATGTCTTTAAAATTGTCTTCCTAACTATTGCCTTTCACAACCGATTAAAGAACGTAAGGCAAAGAGGAGACACAAGCAAACACATTAGCAGTCCAAAGAATCACTGGGAGGTGTTTCTGCACTAGCCCACAGATCAAAATTCATGGTGCAAGAACAGTGATGTTTGCCACAGAACCACAGCTTGTTTTCCCCACTGCTGCTCCCCTTCTCCCACTAATATTTGGGATTTTACTTGGTGGGAGGGGTTGCTAGGGCTCTGTGACACTTATACGGTCCCAAAGGATTGTTTTTTCCAAAATATTTCGAGTTTTAATTGCTTATATGGTAGCAAAAGGGCTTTCAATCTCCACTGCTCTGGTTCTTCTAATTACTTTTCTTGTAATTATCCCCAATTATGGCACTGGAACCATACAAATCATGCAGTTTCTTTCAGTGGAACAATGCCACTGCATAGTTTCTCCAAAAGCTTGCAAAACTAAAATTATCTCCTGACTAAAGAGAATCCTGCAATGATCCCCATCAAACTTCACCCACAGACTCCAATCAGACTCCAAGATCATTCCCATACCATCCTTCAGGTTCAAGTCAAGTCAAAGCTAGGTTTTGACCCTTTTCAAACACATCTGAAACAAACTAAGGAAACACAGCTTCTTGGTTCAGCTGCAAGAGCAAGTACTCCTAAGGAACACAATTGATTAGAATTTCTTCACAGAATACGGATTTTTTTTTTTTTTTAGGGAAAAAAAAAAATCTCAAACTTAATCTAAACAATCTCCCCACCCATGCCCCAAAATGAAAAGAAACATACTGAGTTTGACATTTGAGTTGGATTTTTTTAGGATAAATTCCTTAGATCTAGAATGGCATTTCAGGAGAGAAAAAAACATGGTATCTACTCTGAATACGCTCATAAGCACTCCTCTGTGGAGTGCGATAGAGCCACCTTCCGTTTGGTGGTCTGCCAGGTTTGAAGTAAGGACAGAAAGCTGTTCCACATCCCAAATTAATGCCCTAGAGACCAGCTTATACAGCTGATCTATCTCTAGGTCAGCGGAAATTTAATTATCTGCGCAAAAGCTTAAAGAAAGAAGAAAAAAAAAAAAAAAGGAAAAAGAACTGTATGGGGACAAAGAAGGGAAAAAAGACATTTTCGCTCTTCCTTTTTCAAACTATTAGGAAGATCACCTCTGCTGTTCTTCCCTCCCTTATTTTAGACTGCAATGACAGGGAGGGAAGGGGAGTTACTGACAAATTTGTTATCTTATCATCTTAAGAAAAATAGTGTAAATGACAGAACTAGCTTTCAAATACGTAACTGAGCAAACAGATTTTTTTCCACAGCTGCTAATGCCAACCACTGTTTCAAGTAGCTGGTGTAAAGGACTATAATTGCATTTCAATTTAGGTAGCAGAGCCATGTTCATTTTACACTGCAATGCAAAGATTAAATGTATCTGAAAAATTTGTGCTTCTTTCAAGTGTTGTAACTAGTGACAGTGCTTCAGAACACAAGAAAATTTTTCTTCTTACAATGAATATACAGATCACAACCTACATGCTGGAGGAAAAGAAAGTTCAGTTCAAATTATTTTTAACTGCTGTATTCATCAGATTACCATATTTAAAAAAAAAAGATTAGTTATAAAGGAACAGTAAGTCTGTGATATGAAGATCATAAAGCAAGGAGATGAACATACAAATGTTGTTTAATATTTAGAATATGCCTACCCTATACAAGACTACATGCAGAGATACCAACAATTTCTGAGTCACACTAACTGAGGTACCAAAAGCAGTCTGGTTTTGCTGGTTGTTAGCAAAAAGCAGCAGGATTTGTCAGCTTAGGAAGAGCACTACATTAATGCAGCTATAATGCTTGTGAAATTCTGCCTTGTTCAGTGTCATGGATCACATGGATGCCGCTGTGTATGTATCTTCCTACCGATTAAAATCAATCTAAATTCCAGCTGAGCCTAGTGTTTCCTCTTGGATAGGTGGCTCTGAAGGCCTACAACTAACCAATAAATACCAGATGGACAGAGTTGGGTGAAATTATTAAGTATGAATTTAGGCTTTGGGAGAGGCTGGAGGAACTTGTAGTCTTACTTTACTTTTTATTTTTCCTTTTGGGATGTTAAATATTGTAAACCCAAAAATTTTTAAACTTACCTTAAAACACTGAAAACCTCCAGGCTCTCCCATGTTTTCAAGAGCTGAACAATACTTGCTTTGTCAAGCTATGTCAGCAGATTGGACTTCCTGCTGGTAAGTACAGCAGTGCTAAAATGGTGGTGCTTATCATGACACACCAGAAAAGAAGCTACGAAAACTGGAAGCTGTTTCTAAAAAACTGTTTTTAAATATTTCAATTTTCAGATTTAAAAAAAATGAATCTTCACTAAGTAGATTTGATAGTTTTCCGTTACACCGCCTGGAAAAGGACTTCTGTAGGAATCTAAAAGCACACAAAACTTGTTGAGCAACTACCAGTCCATGACACAAAAGGCAGTAACAGAAACGCTGATCCACACAGGCAGAGAGCTTTCAATACCTTCATATTAGATGCCTCGGTTTCCAGTTTTGTTAGGTGATTTGAGTTATCCTCTAGCTCTTGCCGAAGGTTGGAGTTCTCCATCTTTAATGCCTCAACTTGCTTTAACAACTGATCATATGAAGCTGCGGCCATCCTGGGCTACCCTCAGCCCTAAAAAAAGTAAGAGAAAATATTAAATTTAAACATTTTAGAAAAAACCACCAAATTTATCTAACCATAAAATTATCCTTCTCTCTTTCCCATTTACCACTCAACTTTCTAAACGCTTAATGTAAATCCATTAAACCAAACTATTAATGCCTAGAACTACTGCCAGTTCAAAGACTTTTTTTCAGTGGGCTTCCATTTGATACACATGATTAAGCAAATGAAAGAAGTTCATTAACAATTGCATTAGGTATTAAGGGAAGCCTGAATACATAAAAGAAAATCATAGCATCATACAAAAGCATCCTTACTATTCGCATTTCAATTCTAACACTGAGAAATTATACCTTATTTAACCATTTTTGGATAGACAACAAGCACCGTCAACCATATCTAGAAGATGCTGACTGCCTACTTATTTTATGAAATGAAAGATAGTCACAGATGTTCAAAATCCCTAGGAATAGGACACATTAAAGGAGATGTTGTATGAAAGGCAAACAGTAAATATTGAGGAATTTTAACAGAGAAAAAAGCATCAAATGTAGTAGTAATCAAGTCTTTTGTAAAAATACCCTCCAAGGCATAAAGATTAAAACAAATATACTTACAAAATTCCAACACAAGAAGTGGTCATATTGCAGAGTAGAATAAAAAGATAAAAGGCTATTCTTGATATCAAGATAGGCCATATTATTTTGCGTAATATTGTAACATGATCCTAGAACACCATCACAATTATCCAGCCATTACAAAAGAGAAAGAAAAATATTCCAATTTAAATTATAAAACTCAAATTGTTTCCCACTTTCCAAACCAAAAACCATTGAAGTTGTTCATCTAACAATGTAAGTTAACTAAAACATGGCTAACTACGTTTGAAGCTCTTTACACTTGAAAGTATCAACTTCTTATTCATAAGCCATTCAAGAGAATAAAAGGGAGCCTAGCACTTCATATACGTACAAGTTACCCTTCCAATGTTGTCACAGGAATTTCCTAAGTATGCGCCCTGTAACTCAAAGGAAAAAAATATAAAAAGCTTACAGGACAACATTCCTTTTCATCGTTACTGCAGTACTTTGGAAAAGATGAAACAATTAAAAGCTCTTATGTGGCATTTTCTGTGCATCTTCTCATTAAGCCTTTGACCTTACTGCTTGTGTAACTCCTTATGTAATCAACTTTGCTCTTCCAGATGAATCTTAACTGAATTATCCAGCCTACTGAAAAATAGATAGAATTATTCAAAAAGGTTTTAGTTCCCCAATTTTGAAAATTGTGTTTAACCTTTCTAAATTTAAACTCAATGAAACATAAAGAAGAATATATGCCATTGAAGACAGGAACAATAACAAAAGCTGTATTGCATTTTATATGACTAGTTTATTTCCTTTTCAAGAAGAAAGTCTTCACGCTCTAAGTACCTGTCATCATCAAAGACGGGAGAAGGAAGAAGCCTGCCACTTACGGAACTGTGATTTCCATGACACGACAAATAAGGTGAAGAAAAAAAATCCCTAACAAATTTCTTTTTCAAAATTTGGTCATGCTTTACTGGAGACCTCATTTTTAAGAGAAATTAAGGCAATTGGAAACACCTACTCTATTCTGTGAATTCTGTGCTTTTACCATCAGACTGTTTCACCTAAAAGGTGGAGAGTTGTCAGAGTTGTAACAAAAAAAAAAAAAGAAAGAATTAAAAAAGAAATCAAGCAGACTGCTTCTGTTCCATTTAATGTATGTTTTCCTTTAATAAGTAACAGTTTCCATTCTTATTAATAAAACCAACAGTTGTAGTTCACATTTATTTTCAGAATATACACTGCATGGACAACTCTGCACAAGCCCAAGGAAAGGTAGATAGAAGTGAAAACATTTTCACATTAGTTGTCATAAATTAATATTGCATTGTAGTATTGGTAGAATCTATCGGTTTCAATTCAAGTATATCACACATTTGTTCATTTACAGAAGCTGCTGTGTGCCATGTATTTGACATGCATTTTGATTCTAGCTAGAGTATCTTTTTCTCCCATTATTTTAATTCATGATTGGTATTAAAGGACAGGTAATGATAAAAAATATTAAGTTTTTCCATTTTCTGTCCACACTAAGGAATTCTCACTCACAAATTTGCAAGTTAAAATAATTAGCCATATTAACAAGACACATACACACAACAAATAAAATGGAGAAAACTGAACAAGGGGAGGAGCTACAGTAGAAAGACAGCAACTGCATAGGTCTGATATTTTAAATGCAAAATAAGCTTAAATTTACTTATGTTCAATGAGTAAAGATCCAGTTTCTGAAGGGGAGGTTTGGCTTGCTTTCTCCCCCTCCTGATCTAACTTCCTAACCTTCCTTTTGTGTATTTTCCATGTTTTCATAACATGGAAGTAGGACATCACCACTAAGACAGCATTCTGCCTCAGACTAGGAGTCACTTCCTGATTTATTCAAATGTCAAACTTTACTCTGTGGGTTTTCAGATTAAGAAAATCGAGTTAGCTGATTACCACAAGCTGGGTAATCCAAAACATCTTTTATTTTTTTGTTAAATAGATGCCCAAACGGGCAATAAGCGACACTGCCACAGGCAGAACCCCCCCCGCCAGTTTGGTATCCGGCAGGAGCCACGCCGCCCGACTGCAGCTCTGCCGGCCGCGCAGGCGCTTGCCGGAAAGGCGCCTGCACCACCAGGAACCACAGCGATGCCCGGCAGCTGCTCTCCGCTACCAGGGCATTCCCATCGGCACCTCAGGATACGGCACAACTTTTAAAGAGAACCTCCGGGGGGGTGTGGGGAAAGCGAACATCCTATCTTTCGGGAGCATGGCAAGGTTTGGGCAAGGCGTGCTTGCAGTCAGCACATCCACGCTGAACACTGGACTGAAGGCAGCCAGTCTCACGTTAGCAATACGCTGCGAGCCACCGAGGCATCTGCTTCCAGCGATGCCTGCCACCCCACTGGCTGAGGCATCTGGACTGCTTGGGGGCACGCAGATATATACCTACCTCCCTGGCCCTCCAAGATAATTCTCCCTTCTCCTGCCTGTAAAGGAAGGACTGCCAGGTATTTGAGGAGAACAGTGAACTACTTTTTAGAAATAATGGATCTCACTTAGCCCAACTGCACCAAGGCGTTTGATACAGTGCCACATGTAAAACCAGCCACAGTTATAACAGAGGTGAGCAGAAAAACTTTACATGGGTAAGGAGTAGCTCAAAGACAAGACGACACTGGGCAGTGCTGAAAGCCAAATTGTTGGGCTGGAGGCAGGTTGTTAGCAAAGTTCCCCAAAACCAGCCTGCGACAGGTATTTTTAAATGTTTCATTATTGACCTTGGCACAAGAAGTGGCATCAAAACTTGCTCCCATAAATTCAAGAGGCTTCACAAGGTCAGAGGACTACATGTAATACACAAAGAATCTGAGAAATGGAGCAGTAGAAACAGGGTGGAATTAAACACATAACAATGTAAGGTCACTTATGTGTGAATCTTGTCACCTGGAAGCAGTGATTGGGGAGAAGCAACTCGAGCCTCTGGGCAGTCAGCCTGCAGGGCACCCGGGCAGTGACAACACGAGACTGGCACAGGAAAGCAAACACGATCCCCGGAGTTATCAAGTCATTGTACAAAGACATGGGTAAGAAAAGTGAATTTAAGTGGGTGCAGAGAAAGACGCTCAGTGATCAAGGGACTACAGGGTCTCTCATATGAGAAGAGACTTGATGAGCAAGCCTTTGCTCCCTCAGCACAACAAAGGCTGGAATGACACAGCTACACTTTGTTATTAGGGAGGGGAAAACAGGAGGGAGGGAGAAAAATATTTATGTTAAAACACAATACTGACACAGAACAAATGGGTATAAATCGGTCATTCATCAACATAGGCTGGCAACATCCATTAGAAGCTGTAAATTCAGCAATATCCTTGCCTAGCTCAGGCAGCTCAGAAATCCAATCTTATGTTCCTAAACTTCAATACAGAAGAATATTGTACTTATTTTCGTATCCCCAAGCTATTTATATCTTTTTCTCCTGAAATAATGAAATGCCAAAGCCATTTCACTAAAGACACCATTATTTAATTTTAAAATGGGGGAAATGGACACAGGCAATGCATGACCACAAAGCAGCTTAGGCTTTCTGATGCTGAACACTGCGACACCTCTCAGGCACTTAGTTTGTAGAGTGAAATCACAAGGCTCCATTACACACAAGCTATTCCATGTATATTGAGCTAACACCCTCAAAATTAAAGTCTGCCTCTTTTCTGGAAATAGGTTTTTACCAATAGCCTCAAACTAGACACATCAGATCAGACTTCAGGTCCCAAAACTAACCCTTGGATTTATGCTCCAAATTATTTGAGTATAAAAGAAAAGGACTTTATTTTTAAACACAGAATTGGTGGCATCAATAGAAATTGACTGTATTGCTGCATTCCCTTCTTGTAATTTCTCAGTGGTCGAAATAGAGTCAAACTCTGGACCTTCTCGGCCAGACAGGGTTCACAGCCACGAATCACCTCATTCACAGCAGAAGTAACCAGTAACCAGTCAAAAGGAAAGCAAGGAATAGTTTACACAGGACACACCGGCCTGAAGCTGTACCACTGCACGTACACACACAAACATATTTAAGATTATTGGGGTCAGAATCAGCTGAATCAAGAATAAATTACTCCTCCCCCGGCTATGAAACCACTACAGTGGGGAGTGGAGGGGAAGGGAAGAGGAAGAACTCTGGGCTCCAGTACCCATTTACCCAGCCCAAGTGAAAATGCATGACACATGCAACACAACCCACCTTTGCAAAGTTCACTATTATGCTTCAGTCAAGCTCCCTTGTGCACTCTAACTGCATTTCTTCTTCGCAGAGTGGTCATCATTCAAAGGGAGAAATGGAGACGCCCCTTCCTCTAGATATACTCCAAGAAATAACCCTCTTGGAATACAGAAACTTCGAAATTTAATTCCCTCATTGTAAGAAGCA